GCGCTGAACTGGAAGCTCAGGGATGACCAAAAGAACGTCAACGAAAGGTGTAAAGAACCTGAGAATTGCAGCAACATTTGGGAATTTAAGGGAACCAAATGCAAAAAGACATGGGAAAATCAGCAAAATTGTGGATTTAAGGGATGCAACAAACAGGTTGAGGTTGAAACTCTTGCAATTCAAGGTAAATTGTCGGATCAAGAAAAAGACTTACCACCAAATGTGGCGGGTTGACAGTTTTGATCAAATGGCGATTCAACCGGTAATTTTGGGATTTAACCAACAGGAATCAAATGGAAACGGTGCCCCGCAAAGGAGGGAGGTACAAACTGTTGGATTTCACCAAAAATGGGATGCTCTGGATTTCACCATTGCGACTGTTCACCTGTCACTTCAACCATGGCATTGGGCACCTCTACAGTAATTCCATTGATGAATTGCCAGTTCCCCGTCTTAAAGTTGCCTTTTCTGGGGTGTACCCCATTTTCAGACCCAGATCTTCATATCAAACTGGTTATATACTATATCTTCCATGTTGTCAACATCGCCCATATGGTTGAATCCCCACAACTGATCATCAACCAACCATGATATCTCCATATCCCATAATTTCCGATGATAATATATATATACATATACACTCTGTATGTGTGTATATATAATATATTATTATTATATATATATATATTGTATATATATATATATTGTATATATATATTGTATATATATATATATTGTATATATATATATATATTGTGTATATATATATATATATTGTGTGTATATATATATATTATTGTATATATATATATTATTGTATATATATATATTATTGTATATATATATATATACACATACCCATCATTGTTGCTTAAATCATGTTCACACTCCCAGATTTTCCCCGAAACTGCAGGGACTTTCCGCCTCCGGAGCCGGAGACTGGGAACTGAAGCTGCCCAGCAGACGCTCGCAGCCCTTTACCAGCTCCATGCTGTCACCGTTGAGGCGACTCAAGACCTGGAGAGACGAGTGGGATGAAATTGGGAATTACTTGGGTACCAATTCAAATGGGATTGATTTCATGGTGATGCAATAGTGACTTTTTCTAGTGGTGATTCACTGGGTGTTTTACTGCGTGGTTTACTGGGTGGTTTACTGGTTTAGCTGTTGTGATGGGTTTCAATAACAGGTGGTTTGCTGTGGTTCTTCTGGATGGATTTTGCTGGATGGTTTTCTTGATAATGGAGGTTTTGATAGATGCTCTTGATGGACGCTCTTGATTGTCTTCATGGAATTGTGATTCAAGCAATGTTCTGGATGGATATGTTGATAGGGGTTTTATGGTCGTTGAGTGGACTCTTATAGTCCCTTAATTAATGGAGTTGGGATGGAATTGCTTATGGTTTCTCAATGGAATTGTCTTTGTGGATGTTTTCCATGGAATTGTTGATGAACGTTGGAGGTGTCTTAATGGCCTTTTACTGTAATAGATTGCTGGATGGATGGATGGACGGATTGATGGATGGATGCTCCATAGTCTTATGGTTGTTTTTATGGCTTTTGTTAACCTGTCAAAATATGGGAACAAACTAATAAAACTAATTGACCGCTAGAAAAATCTGCAGGATTTGGGGAGGACACAAATCAAATACAAAATTCGAAACATGATTTGGTCGTTTGGAGTCACGAAAATTCATTCAGAAGATGAACCAGGTCGGAAACTGGCAGGTCCGCTGAGCCCGTGACTTGAGCTGGAAGGGAAGTCTTGTCTTTCACGAGAACTGTGAAGATGTGTGCAGGATCCAACTGCAAGTGTCCCTTCTCCTGGCTGAGATGTTGGTTCTCATGACAAATGCCAGTAGTATTGGTCTTCATGGACTGTTTGTCATACCAAGCATGCTGGAAAGTCTCCTGGGGTCAAATACTGTATCAGGAAATTCTGAAGGTTGAGGTGGAAAGAAAATGAAAGGGTGGACATTTTAGTGATAGCAACATTGTTGTATTCAAAACCAGCTTACCCAAACATCCAGCAGAAATTCAATGGGTTTAGGGCACCCTAGAGCAATGGACAATTCCTATGTGCCAAGAGGAAAAACACCTGGGGGATTCCAGTGCTAGGCTAGGTTTCCTTTTCAGAGGCTACTCTCTATCAACCTCGCAGGGAGCAATCCCATTTGTACCTCTCCTTGGCGAGCCGCGCCGCATCCTTGATGACTTTCCCCGTCATCTCGGTGAAGTCGGCCGAGCCGGACATTGCGAAAGAAGCGTGACGAATTTGGGTGTGAATGAAGGTGAGCCAAAATTGCTGCAGCGGGAATATTTGCAAAGGGCGAATTTGCCAGAAAATCCTGCAGGGCCGAGAAAGGCTAAAAAGATCTGAAAAGAAACAAAAGTTTTGCGGAAGCACCCAGGCACCTTTAGCCGCTTGGGGCTTGCATTGCTTGGTCATGTATTCAGAGTTGTCCAAATCAACTGTCATCAGCCCTTTGTTGATGGAAATGCTTGATGGCATAGTTACCAATATTTAAACTTACCTAGAAATTGATGTATACATATATATATATAATTGTATTATATATATATATATATACTTATTTATATCTATGCCGTAAACTAAGCCACCCCACGTGCCGGGCACTTCCCCATCCTGGCCTTTCGCATTCTGTCCCAAGAAGCCCCTGAAGCCTGGACCCGTGGGGTGAACATCGCCCAGTTACCCTGGATGATGTGGATGATTTGGATGATTTTCCCATTGCAAAAGAACAAAAATCTAGCAGATTCTAGCAAGAACGGAGCTCAAATCCCGTTCAAAACGTGCAAAATCCATCGATTTCCATCTTGACCAAGGGTTTTCTTCTTCGTTTCCCGCCTGCATGGCGCTGGATGAGCTCCAGAAAGGAACAGGGCACCACCTCTTCTGTGCCGCAGCCGAAACGGTGAGGCACCTCATCCTGAGTCAAAAACTGGGAGAATCGCAGGTGGCGCGCTGGAAAAGGTTCCGTTTATAGATGATGTTCCCATGAAACCCCACCCATTTATATCGATTTATGGAGGATGTTCAATTGCTGGTTTGGAACTGGGATGATGTATATAAACCGAGTACAAAAATGGGACGACTCCAAGTAGGGTACGTAATGACCAGTTCTGTTGACCAGGTACTAATTGGAACGATCCTCCAAGAGGGAAGATGCTGGAAGTGGGGTTTAGCATGGAGAAGCCTCCCACTTCCACTTTTCCAGAACCACGGCTACATTACCAGGCTTGATCAGGGGGAGTAGAATCCAGCAGGTGGTAGCGTCTGAAAAGAAAACAACCGCATGTCCCTAAGCAAAATGGGTGTGTCTGAAAAATCAGGTAGATCTCCCTTAAATGTTTTAGATCATTTCGGAAGAATGATGATCAACTTGATCAACCATTGGATTTTGGAGTACTCCATTTAAAATCAGTAATCAAAATGGCCAATTCACCATTTATACCCTCTGGTTATTTAACGTTGCCATGGAAAATCACTGTTTTTAATAGGTAAACCATCTATAAATGGGCCATTTCCCATGGCTATGTTAAATAACCAGAGGGTACCATGGATTTTCTCATTCAAAGCTCCATAAAAATGGTGGATTTCCCAGCTTGCCATGGTGGAACAGTCCCAGCAGCTGCCATGGTGGAACTCTGCTCCAGGGACACAGCGGGACTGCCTGTGGGGAGTTTCGGGCAAGTGCACCGCCGGACTATATATATATAATATATAATATATATATATTATATATATATATATGTGTGTGTGTGTAAATGTGTATGTATAAACATAAATTAATTATAAATTATATCGATTATATCATATCATATCATATAATATCATATCATATAATATAATATCATAACATATCATATCATATTACATTATATAACCTTACATTGTATCATATCATTATATAAGGGATACCATATATTCCTGTATACATTATATTACATCCCCTTACTTGGAACCTTGCGTCAGGCCATCGCTTCCGCCGGCTCGGTTGAAGACCAAACCGTTGGATTGCAACAAGGCCTCCCGAAATGTGGAATTCACCAAGGATTCACAAGGGAAATCGGGAAATCGGGGGAGATTTACTTCAAATACATGGCTTTCTCTGAAAATGTGAGTTTTTTAACCAAAACAAAACTTTGGAATTTCCCATTGACATCACTACTTTGGGGGATAGCCTATTTTCAGACACGGCCACATAGCCATTTTAATCTGAAAAATGATGAAAAAGAAATAAACATCGTAAAACTGGGGAGATTTGCAGTGGCCAGTTTGACTATTCCTCTCTATTGTATATAGCACAATATGTATAGATACATAATATATATATATATATATCGTACAATGTGTATATATATATATAATATACATATATATATACATATATATATATATATATACATAAAGGTTTCGGCTGTAGCGGCCCCACGACTCGGCCATCACCTAAGCGGCAACTAGCCATTGCCGCGGGCGCTTTCGCACCTGAGCAGCGCCTTGCCTGACTTGTGCTCTGTGAGCCTCGTGCTGGCTCACATCACCATTGCTTACACCGATTGACTTGCTCGTTGGTGTACTTCTTGGGCTTTGGGGACTTTGACATCAAGGTTTCTGCACTCTCGAGTCCCAGCTCGTTAACTCCTGGGTCAGTGGCTGCCGTTAAATTGGCCCACTGTTTGGTTGTTGAAATCTTCGGGTTTGGAGTTTGACGTGTTCCTCCTTACTGATTTCCACCTGGTGCTCAACTACTTGATGTTCTTTGCCCTCTTTGGTATTCTGGCTTCATTGACCCATAGCCATTACGCCCACACAGAGGAGAACAGCCAGACGACAGCGTGCTTTAGCACGTCATCGTTGGTATCTACACAGAACTGGACGCATTGTCTTGGACTGGATACAACTTCAAGCCTTGTACAAACGCTTGAAGAACCATCACAGCCGCGACATCCAGTTCTTAGCCAAGATTCGACAAGCAATGGCGAACTATGGAGACCCATGGAGATGCCGCTTCTGCATGCGGATGGTCAGCCCAACAGCAGATTGCTGTGGAGGTTGCTGGGGTTCTTGGACGATGTGCCACGACCCCACTTACGTGCACAAGCAGCCCATGAGAAAAGATGCTCCACCAGGATATGCGCAACAGGAATGGTCAGAGACGCCATGGGGCAACTCCGAGGGCCCATGGCGTGCGTCCCGAAAATCTCCCAGGAGAAGGACGCAATCACCGAGACACAGAAATGCCAATTGGAGAGCAAATTCACGACGGCGACAACAGCCGGAAGATCCACCGGATCTGACAGGTGGAAAAGGCCAAGAAAAAGGCAAGACACAAGACAAAGGCGGCGCAACAGCCTTTGGACACTTGCCGCCATCCACTACTTGGATATCGCCACCAGTGGCACCCTTCTCAACGGAGACAGCAGCTCCAGCATCAGCTTCCACAACATCGAGCGTGATGCAGCCCTTTGGCAAGCCACGACAAGACAAGGAGGATGCGGAACTTCAAGCTCTACGGCATCTTCATTCTCAACTACGTGGACATACAGGGGAGCAGCCAGAAGAGGTCAAGAAAGCACTTGCAATCGTCGAGGCACAGACAAGAAAGGACGATGCGAAGAGCTACAAACAGCTCATTTACATGCTGACCCAGGCCAGGAAAAAGCTCTCCGACATCGAAGACCAATGGGACACTTTCAGAACCCAATGGTCCGCCTACTTGGACAATGCCACCAAGATGTGGACAGCTCACATCGATTCCTACGAGGAAGGCGAGACCAAGTTCTACGAGAAGAGGAAGGAAGCTGCCCAGTATCTCCAACAGGTCCGTGCACAACTGCACGACATCCATGTGCGCACTATGGCAGTGGAGGGAGGCACTGTCCCCTCTGGCGAACTCCAGGAAGGACAGACGGCCTTAGATGCGACCATGACCATCATGGACATGGACGATGCCACACCACAGCCACAGCTAGACCAGTTGAAGACGGACTTGAAAGGTGTCGTACAAAAGGTGAAAGACACTATCGAGGAAAAGATGCACAAACGACCTTTGGCATCAAGAAGTGGAGATGGAGAAGATGTACAAATCTTGGAACCCGCCGACAAGAAACAGCGGGATTCCAACATGCCCTGACCCTCCTTGCGTCTGAGGAGGCCAGTGGGGTGACAGTTCCTATCACTCACTGGAGAGGCGAAGGGCGACAGCACCGGCGTGACCGATTCCGCCGGTTGACCTTCTGGCCAACTGTTGATGCAGTGACCATACAAGGAGGTACCATTTTTGAAGTTTGCAGATTTCCTCGTGAGTCTGAGTTTGGAGTTGACGCATGTTCGAACGGCAGTCCTTGTGGGTTTTTGGACTACCTTCAGCCTCCTCCACATTCTATCATCACTGAGGATGACTATGTCAGCCACTGGGATGCCCAACAAAGAGCTCTGTGGCTTGAAGTTTCAGTACAAGCCCCAATTTTGGCTCCACACATGGACAAGCTGTTCTTTGAGAACTTCATCCGTGACCGAAGGCATCCAGTACCATATGAAGATCTTCTTGCCCTGGGCATACTGCCTAGTTCAGACGGTTCCTGCCCAGCGAAACCAAAATATCACAGACAGAATCGACCTGATCCAAATGAAGTACCAAATCTTCCAGATCCACCGAATGAAGAAGAACCTGGTCAACATGGAACAGGAGCAGCAGATCGGAGGCTACCCCTGCACCGCTTTCCAGCTTGGGTCGAACAAGTCTGGAACGTTTTGCAGCAGGAAGGCGCCACAGAACTGCTTGAGGAAGGCCCAGTCATCTACCTGGACACCTTCTATGTCAGCCATGACACTTGTCGACGACAAAACGTCAATCGACCTCTACGACTGGATCAACACTATGATCAATGGGCAGAAATGATCAAGGAGATCTGGGATGACTATTTTGACAGGAACTCAGAATTTGAAGTCTTCCTGGTCGCACCAGAGCCACCCATTCCACTCACAAGAGGCACGGTTGGCATCCTTTTGATTGTCCAACATCCACACAGAGGATTGGCCGCAGCCATGACAACAGTCTCTATTGATGACATTGCAGGTCAGAGACTGGAAGAATCGGCACATTCCTTCGAGACACAAGTTCCTTTTCAGCAAGTTCTACGACAAGCGAGAATCTTGACTGAATGTCTCGATATCCAAAGACAAGGACATGGATCATGTACACTACGGGTAGGCGAAAGGATCCTACCCCCAGATCAGCCCATCAGAATCAACGATGGTTTGGGCCTTGTCATTGAGGTCCCCATGGTCATTGATGATGCCCGATGGCACAACAATGTTCTGCCGCGCTGGCGTGAAGCAGGACTTCCACTGCCACCTCAACCTCAGGCTGACAATGCTGCTGATGAAAGCAGCCTCATGGCACGACGTCCACAACCAAGGAGGCCATCATCCAGTGATTCTTTGTCACCACCCAGCTCGGTGAACACAGAGACTGATGAAACAATGACTGAATATTCATCAGATGATGAATGGAGAAGGGCGGTTGTCTACACTTTGGATGGGCAATCGCGATCAGCTTTGCTTCCATGGCGAGAAGGCGAAGAACTTCACCAACGAGTGGCCCTTGCGTTTGACATCGAAGCCTCTACAATCCTGCAATTGTACCACATTGGCTTCAGGCCTTCTGACCTTGAACAAGTTGGTCTGCAGGGATTACTTCTCCAACGCCTTCATGAGCCCAGGACAGCTCCAAATCTACAACTCATCCTTCTAGATCTTGAAATCCATGATGATGATGAGATCCTGCCGGGCATCTTCAGAAGAAAGGCGTATTGGGCACCGAGGATTACAACGATCCTGACCCTTTTCCGACTCCTTGGAATCGAGAACTTCCTCAACCACCATCAAAGTCGGTGTCACATGTGGCACAATAATGGCCATGTCGACATTACAGGCACCTATCCACTGCATATCGCAGATGGTGATTATGTTGAAATCTTCATCGGTGACATCGATTGCCATGAAACTCTACCAGCAGAGCAGGATGAACATTCTCTGTTTAGTCTGGATCGAGGCAGAAGTCACCGTATCACAGAAGCTCACAAGGTTGCCACTTTCCCACAAACGTCATGTGACATTGGACTTCATCGCCGAATGCCTAGAAGAATCCAACGGCCACAACGCGATGATGATGATCAAGAGGAACAAGAACGAAGAGCCATTTGGAATCGACCTCAACTTCATGGACGAGGCCTCAACAATGAACCTGTTCTCATTGTCGACACCTGGTTCCTGAGTGCTCTCAATTTTCCGAGATGTTCAACTCACAGGACGATTGCATTACCACAAGATCTTGCACAGTGGGATCATCAATTGAGAAGCCTATGGAGAGATAGACAACATCCTCATTGGCCCTTGAAACTCATCATTGTTGAACCAGCTCCTCGACCACAACCTCATCAAAGTCATGGAGGACACGTCATCATTTTGCAACATGAACATCCAGGTGAAGCTGCAGTTTTACTTAGCAGTTATCATGGAGCACTTCATGATCGATTTGCTCAACTGGTTCCCTCCGTCCTTGACTTTGACAGATTTTTGTGGTTTCAAGATCATGAAAATGACTGCCCACGTGAAGACTGGGTATGCAGAGGATATCATGGAGAACACCAAATGCCAGAGCATGCACCATGGCAATGCACTCATGGCCAGCATCTCGAACTCTATGTGCAGATCCCGTCCGATGATGTGACAATGTTTATGCAAGCAGCGCAACAAATGCGGAAAGACCCAGTTACAGCAGTCAAACCACGCTGTCATGCTCTGGGTCTCCCACCACCCAGTGGTGAACAAACGCGATTTGCCTTCAATGCCAATGCAGCTCCCTTTGTCCCTGGACAAGGTGATATTCTTGGCCAGCCGGAAGTCATCCAGGACATACACCTGCACTGGCAATTCGCGTCATTTGCATGGGAAGATGAATCTCCGTCATCGACAGTGGCTATCTGGTTCGTCGATCACACCTGGCATTGGCCTCATGGAGATCGTTTCAGGACAGCCAGACTTTACCCGGACTATACGCAGTGGCAAGATGTCATTCTCCGAACGTGGCAAGACCATCTTCAACCAGGGGCACCTGTCGAAATTAGTTTGGTTCGACCCACTCCTGCTACCCATGCACAAGATATTTGCTGCCATGTTGTCATTGAGCAGAATCCTAGACCAGATTGGGTCACATCAGTTGTCAGCGTTTCCGACGAGGATCTGATGCAAGAGACACCTTTCCGAATCATGGCCATTACCACGCACGAGCACATTTTGCTCGACAACATCCTCTTAGTCCTTGGACTTCATGGACAATGCACTGGGGAAAATGCGAGGTTTCAATGCAACGCTTGGTTTGACACTCTGATTCTACAACTGGGTCGACCCATTCCAGGTAGAAGTGGATATGGAATCAAGCTTACACTCACCCAACGTCCACAGCAAGCAGTTCAACCTCCAGGTGCTGGGCCGGTACTTCTCCAGTTGTCAGCTTTGGTCACCAAAGGCCCTTGTGCAGAGGCATCTTGCGAGCGCCTAACAACTGACACGGTGGCTCAAGGTCAGTGGCCGCAAGATAGCCAGAACTTCCCGGCCATTGGAGAATGCCGACCTGAAGATTGGAGACAAGATACCTCGACCATCTTGATTCAAATTGTTCATGATGCACCAGACCACATTGTGGACTTTCTGCCTCAGGCAATTGAAACTCCATCAATATACTCTGCAGAAGATGTAGAAGAAGAACTCACTGCATGGGGAATCTCGTGCAAGATCTTTCTCTGTGGCGGACATGATGTCGTTTTCGCACACTTTGCAGCAGAACCAACATCACACCATTGGCGGTATGTCTACTGCAACATGGACATCACGCACAGCTCTCCAGTATTGACCCAGGTCACCACCCACCCACTCTGTGAGATCGACCACATGAAGTTTCTATGCCAACAAGGATTCTCGAAGGCAGTTCTTCACCTCCCGGAGCAATGGACTGAGCACATCACTTGCGTACATTTTGAAGATGTTTCGCCAAACCACGATGCTCCAACATATCGTTCACGAGCAAGAACACCATGGCCCAGTCGACAACCGACAAAAATAGACATGACTCTGCCATTCCCGGACTTGAAGAGTCTTCCAGAGCCTTCTGAGTGTCTCCTTGAGATTGACATGGAGACTTTGACAACCTTCCTTGAGGATAAGGGTGAATGGCTATGGCAAGACTATACTGTCTTTGACCTTCCTGACTTCATCAAAGCTGCACTTGACTCATGTGAACCTATCCAACGGATTGATCGATATCTTGTTTACACAGACGGATCATCTCAAACACGACATCGACACAAACCACCCCTTTGGGTAGCAGAAAAAGACATGAGTGACTCATGGGCATTTGCAGTCTTTGCAGAAGAATATGCAGAAGATCCACAACAGCCATCCAAAATACAATTTATTGGCCTTCAGTGCCAGGTTGTTCTCTACGAAGAACAAGCCTCACACTGGATCGGGACCGACAAGATCGGATCCGACGCGGCCGAAACAGAGGGTCTCTTCTGGGCCGGCATGTGGAGGCTGGCGCAGAACCACAGAGTCCCCACTACGTTCCTGACGGACTCATGTCTCGCAGGGGACCAGGCCGCGGGGAGGATCGACACGGCTGACATCAATGACCCTTTTCGCAATCTACGAGCAGTGTATCAGGCGCTTGCAGCTTATTTGCCTGGCGACTTTCTCCGAGTTGAACATGTCAAGAGTCACACGGGCGACCCGTTCAACGAGCTAGTGGACCACCTTGCGAAGATTGCTGGCAGCTCCAATCTTTGCCTACCTCGTCAACCAGTTCATATGCCACGTTTCAGACATGTTCTTCCACATTTATGGATGGCAGTCGCGGATCAATCGGACATGCCCACACTGACCACCAGAGGCCTCGATGTCAAGCCAATCGCCTTGCCACCACAAACCTCGACAGGGAGACAAGCACCGTCATCAAGATCTTCCTTGGTAGCCAAGCTTTCTCTTAGCCTGGCGACGGGAAATGTGCGGACGTTTTATAGAGGCAATGAAGGCCACGGAGGCAAACTCTCCTATTTGCGCGAGCAATTCACGGCCCATGGGCTCAACATCATGGGCTTACAAGAATGCAGAACAGAAGCAGGCTCATCACTTCAGCAAAATGTTTTGCGACTCGCAGGAGGAGGAGACAACGGACAACTTGGAATTGAAATATGGATCAATATGGCACAGCCATATCTTCACATCAAAGGAAAGCCGGGCTACTTCACCAGAGGAGACTTTGTTGTGGTCTCACGAGCCCCTAGACATTTGCTTGTTCATCTCCTCAACGAGCATATTGACCTTTGGTTGCTTGCTGCACATGCGCCACACAGCGGCACTCCCAGTTCCGACAGGCTACATTGGTGGAGCAGCCTGTCTCAAGTTGTGGCTGATCATGTCACAGGAGACAATCTTGTCGTCATGCTGGATGCCAATGCTGCAACAGGTGCTGCTGATGGCCAACATGTCTTTTCCCAAGACGACAAGACGTCAGCCAATACTGAACCCTTCAGAGAATTTCTGCGCGAACATGCGCTCCTTGCACCCTCCACTACTGATGTACATCAAGGAGAACAAGGCACATGGGTCAGTCCACTGGATGATTCGCTACATCGCATTGATTATGTTCTGATTCCCTGCAACTGGAAACCATGGTGCACCCTCTCAGAGAATTTGATCAACTTGGATTTTGGACATCTGGGAGACCACACGGCCACGGCGATCCAATTGGAGTGGACAGAAGAGGTATCATTGCCGTCGAGAGCTCAGAAGACACGAGGTCATGCTAGACAATTGATTCCACAAGCTGATCTTGGTGACGCACTTCTGCAATATCGACCTCTTCAATGGGGCACGGATATCGAGACACAAGTGAACCATCTCAACCAACATCTTCTTCAAACTCTTCATGAACACTGTCCACCCATTCGACAGGGTCCAAAGAAGAGCTTCATTGATGAGGAGATTTGGAACACTCGATCCATGAAGTTGGCTCTTCAACGAAAAGGTCGCCGACTCCGACGACAGGCCTCAATGGAGCTTCTTGCCCAATGTTTCACAGGCTGGCGCAGCACACCCAATGACGAGGACATATGGGCATCGTGGAGATATGGCATCACACTACAAGTCCGATTTGTGAGCAATCGACTGCAACTGTGGAAGACCGCACGTGTTCTCCGAAATCGACTTGCCCGAGCCAAACAACGAGCTGTCCAGACTGCCATCATGGACTTGCCTGATGATTGTGCCGCCTCAAAGATTCTCCACACGCTCAAGCCCCTCATTGGAACCACCAATCCGAAATTACGCAAGATGACGCCTCTTCCACAAATTGTGAAAGATGATGGCAAACCCTGCACCAGTCCAGAGGACCTCAGGGACCAGTGGATTGGATTTTTTGGAGCGATGGAAGGTGGAGAGCGTGTGGAGATAGAGGAGCTCAGAAACCTGTGGTGCCAAAATTTGGAAGACTTCATGCAGCATGCACTATGTCTTCAAGCAGGCGACATCCCCACACTTACTGATCTTGAACGAGCATTCAGAAGAGTGAAAGATCACAAAGCTGTTGGTGAGGATCTTATTCCTCCTGAATTATGCCATCATTTTCCAGTGCCGCTTGCACGACTTGCATTCAGCCAACTGGTCAAACTTTGCACCCATGGACAAGAAGCATTGCTGCATAAGGGTGGCACCCTCGTGGCGGCATGGAAGCGAAAAGGACCGCAGCACCGCTGCGACTCCTACCGCTCCCTTCTCATCAGCTCCCACGTGGCCAAGTCGGTACATCGTGCTGTTCGAGACCACCAATCGACCATATATGAATCATTCCTACAGGCGGCTCAGATTGGAGGAAGAAAACACATACCAGTCTCCATGGGGGTTCACTACATTCGTGCAGCAGCCAGAAGAGCTCGACATCACAAGCAGTCACATGCGCTGGTGTTCCTTGATCTTCGTGAAGCATTCTATCGTGTCCTACGACCCATTGCGGTTGGTGGCCAAATCCCAGACAGCCTCCTTGCCAAGGTGGCAGCGAGATTGCACCTTCCTTCAGATGCCATTGCCGACCTTCATGCTCTACTTCAACTTCCAGCAAGCACTGAGCTGGCCGGAATGCCGAAACATCTACGTCGTGCACTGCAAGCCCTGCACACGAATACGCACTTTCGTATGCACGGCCAAAGTGACCGAGTTCATACACTTATCGGCAGTAGACCGGGAGACCCATTTGCTGATGTGGTGTTTGGGTACATGTTCGCCAGAATTCTGGACATTGTAGAGAAGCGCCTGACCGACCTTCAAATCATTGAGGTGTTCGAAGATGATGCTGCCACAGGTCTGTATCCCCCGGCTGAAGCCAACTCCAAGATCCAGCATACCCTCTTAGGGCCAACCTGGATGGACGACCTATGTCTTACGCTCTCACATGAGACAGCAAATGGGGTCGTCAGCCGGGCTAGCACAGCCGCCAGTGTGCTCTTGGAAACATGCACGTCACATGGAGTCACACCGAACTTGGACAGAGGCAAAAGTGAAATTCTTCTCACGCTTCGGGGTGCTGGCTCTCGACGACTTCGACTTCGATATTTTGGTGCTGAACAAGGACGACAGCTGCCCATCCTCACAGAATATGGCCTTCAGCATATTTCCATTATTGGGCACTACACCCATCTTGGAAGCATCGCGCATCATTCAGGACTTTCTCATCGTGAAGTGCGACGCAGAATTGCCATCGGCAATGCAGCCTTTGCGTCACATCGCAAATTGCTCTTCCAAAACCACGGCTTTACTGTCAAGAGGAGAGGTGAGCTATTCCAGTCGCTTGTCACCAGCAAAATCACGTACGGTCTGGAATCTTGGACATTCCACGACAAGAAGACCAAGGAGTATTTCCGGGCGGCCATTCTTCGACTTTACAGAAGACTGCTCAAGTTGCCCAACACTGCTAAACTTCAAGACTGCGAAGTCTTAGCAGCAACACAACTTCCAGCGCCAGAAGTGATGCTGCGGATTGCGCGTCTTCGCTACCTTGGACTCTTGTACAAATGTGAGCAAGTCACTCCATGGGCAGTCCTACGTGCTGATCATGATTGGATGATGATCATTGCGGAGGACCTGAACTGGTTGTGGACTTTGATCGCTGACACATGCAAGCTACGTGATCCTTCCCAACATTTTGAAGATTGGGAGTATGTGCTCCGCTACCACAGGAGGTACTGGAAAACACTCCTACAGCGAGGAGCGACATTGAGTCGATTGAAAACAGAAGATGAATTGCTGTTGCGGCGCCTTCACTATGACATTTTCAACATCTTGACTGAGCATGGCACTTTGGCCCATGCACCGATCAAGCCACACCTTGATCCAGAACAACAAGCCCAACATTTTGGGTGCATGCATTGTGCCAAACGCTGCCGCTCCAAAGCCGGGGAGGGCGCACACATGTTCAAGGTCCATGGCATTGTTGCAAAGGAACGCCAATTGATTGCAGGCACGTCATGTGAAGCATGTCTTGGTGAATATCATAGTCACGACAAGCTCCAACAACACCTTCGCACATCTCAATACTGCAGGATGATTCTGAACTCCAGACCTCCACATCGAATTCTGGCGCCAGGAATGGGATCCAAAATCAATGCAGAATTACGCGACAGACACGATGGTCTTCTTCCTGTCCAACGTGCACAAGGACCGCAATTGCAGCCGCAAGCGCTCCGACCACCTGAAGCACATCATGTGCCTCTTTTTGAAGACTTGGTTTTGACCATCTATGAGACTGTCGCCAACGACATTGATGGCCTCTTCACCATTCTCCAGAATGTCATCACGCGCCACTATGTGGGATGGACGATGACAAAGATAACGCTGGCGCACACTATTGAGGCCTTTACCGAGGAAGCAACAATGGATGTGCCCTTTACTCGCAAGCAGCTACATGATGTCTTGCGACAATTGGGCGATGCTACCTCATGGAAATTTCTCCTGGACGAGGACCACGAGACGGCAGATGGTACACATATGTACTCACTGGATCTTTATGAAGGCTGGTGTGAAGATCTCCTCACCAGAGAGGAAGCATGGACACGCGCAGAGCCTCGTTGTCCTAGGCCCCATTTCAGGGAGCGCGTGGTACTTCACGCCTACTCAGGAAGAAGGCGCCCAGGAGATCTGCAGTGGTTCATTGACCAAGCAGTACAGCGCCAACAGATGGGCCCTGTCATGGTGGTGTCAGTTGACTTGGTCATCGACAGCACATGGGGTGACATCAGCAGACCATCTACTCAACGATTTTGGCTTGACGCTATTGCTTCAGGTTTTGTCCTTGCGATGCTCAGTGGACCACCATGCTGCACGTGGTCGATTGCGAGGGGCAAAGAGGACCGTAGTCTCAAGACCAAAGGCCGACATGGACCAAGGGTTATCAGGACCCGAGAGTTTCTTTGGGGGCTCAGATCTTTGTCGCTCAGGGAGATGAAGCAAATCCACGATGGCCACATCCTCCTAGGATTCAGTCTCCACGCAATGATGCTTCTGGCGATGGCCGATGGGCTCGGTATCTTGGAACACCCGGGAGAACCTGCAGAAGAATCAGCTGCCAGCATATGGCGCTTACCGCTGGTACAACTGCTACTTCGCCTTCCGGGTTTTGCGCTTCGAGAATGTGCTCAAGGACTCTTTGGAGCGGTGAGCACCAAGCGAACTGGCCTTCTCACGCTCAATTTGACGGAGCTCCCCTTGCACTTGCGGGCCAACATGATCCGCAAGGATTTGCCGCGTGCTGCGACGATTGGCGTAGATGAAGAAGGCAGGTACAAAACGGCGGTATTAAAAGAATACCCTCCTGCCCTTTGTAAAGGCATGGCCGAAGCATTCCTTTCTCACTTCCCACCGGTTGATTGCCAGGTGGACCTGCCACAGTTACCAGCAGTTTTCCGTCAGCGCTGTCAACAAATGACATGCACAGCAATGGGCCGTTCCATTGGTGCCGACTTCGCTGGGTAACTACTGCAGGAGCATTAATTCAATGATGCAGAACCTGCCGCAGCGAGTGTCCGCTACAGCATGCAGCATGGGAAAAAAATATATACATATATATAATATTATATAACTATATATATCGTATATGTATGATACATGAATTAAGCCTAACATATTACATGTAAAATTGCAAAATGTAATAGACATAGGACTAGCAAAAAAAGGATGTTGAAACACCTGCAGGATGACTGGTGACGCTAACGGGTATATGGAGACAACGAATGCCATTGATGGAATACTCTCCGCTGTTCCGTATGGGTAAGCACTTCAAGTGAACAACCACTCAATACGGTTTTACCAGGACCAGTAAACTTCGACCCATGCATGCAAGGAAGCCAAATTACAGGAGTTGGTGAGGTCAGAATGGGTTGAACCTGGACCGTTGCTTACAGAGTTAATCCATGTTAATCCTACCCGAAACCGTCCACAACAATAAACTTGTTGAATCTCCTGATCCTCCTTCCCGCTGACCCAACAGCTGTAGGATCGTCTGCAAGGAAATTGCTGGTCAAATGTTCGGTACCCTTTTGTTCACATGAAACCAGCTGGGATTTATGGATGCTCCCATGTTCATACCCCCCAGCTACGGTATTTCATACCTAAATTGACTCCTCAGAGGTTGACGCCCCACAAATTCACCAGGTCGCATTGAGGTCCGCCAGCGTGTTCACACCCGAAATACCCAAGGAGTTCAACAAAATGGTCACGTGGTTGATACCTGGAAGGCCAAATCGCCAGGCCCCTTATGGCGAACTTACTTGGCATACGTGCCAAGCAATGTTTTCGCCTTTCAACCTCTGCTTCAGGTTTCAGGCAAATCCAATGTCATCAAAATCTCTACCCCTGTTCAACTCCCCAAACTATCAATTCTGTGCTGAAAAAAGGTGAAAACAATGACTTCCGACAAAGCCTACAATTCTCCCACACATCAACTCATAGCAGTTCCAACCCTCTGCTGCTATCGTCACCGACTTTACCAAGGTGCGATGGCCATGCGTCAAGGTCCAAGATGCGTACCTCGGTGTTTTGAACCACTCTCGGGGGATCCAACATCACAAAAATCCACCTGTCATTGGTGATTTTCCCCTTTCAACTTGGTATTTTCCATTGCTCAACTCAACTGGTGGAATTGCCTCGTTCCCATGTTTTTAGCCATACAAAGGACAAGAAACTCCAAGGCGTTTCCCATGCTCGGGTCAGCAGCCATGTTTCTCAGTGTCTGCCTAGGCATCGCCGGTGCTGGGCCGGTTTCCCAAAATCATGTTGGATTCCTCTAGCGATGACAGATTATGGGACCAAAAAAAACATTCTGCACCGGCCTCAGCTACATTGAAATCTACGTTTACACCCTAACCGCTAGCCTGTCCCGAGCAGCGGGTTTTGAAGAAATCCCAAGAATGGCAGATTGATGAGTGTCGGTGAAAACCCTGGAACCCTGGTGATTTCACACCAAAATAGCGTGTGCGTTGCAAAATAGTTGGACATTCATCCCCCCATGAATCAAACGTCCAATATGGGTGGCATCAACCATCCTCCAACAAAACAAACATGAACTGCAGGTGTTGTTCAAAAAGTGAATCTAATCCGAAAAAAATAACCCGATCAACCTTTGGAACAAAGAAACTTCCTAGAAACTGTTTCAGAAACACAAACAAAAGCTGTTGCCCCGATATGATATTTTCGAGGTAAAAACCCTAGCATGAACCAATCCCAAAAACCTTCAATTTTTCTTTTCTGCCACCAACTTGAAGAATCAGCCCAACTATCCTTTGAAAACCATCATCTTTCCCCAAACAAGAGATAGTATTCATCATATCCCCCCTGTTAAATGTTAAGCCTACATATACTAATCACATATCATCAGACATATAAGTATATATATATAACTAATTCTAACTATAGATAAATAAACATTATATATATATATATATACTGACAGGGTCTGTGTCGGCCGGTGACTCGGCCGCCGGGGTGGGCGTGTCGGCCATGGGTGTGCGTGTCGGCCGGCGCCAGGTGCCGCGTCGGCCGGCGCCAAGTACCGTGCCGGCCGGTGCAAATTGTCGCTCCGGGCATTGGCGATACATATTGGACGCAGCCCAGTGCAAACTTAGAGTTAGCAAACTAAGGTCTGGGTGTTGAAACTGGCATGTCTGTGTCGGCCGCGGGGCTTCTGTGTCCGACGGCGGGCTGGCGCTTTGGGGGCTGCCACAAAGCAGGCTAAGAGAACCCAGAGCTAACTTAGCAAACTAAGGTCTGGGTGTCGAAACAGGCATGTCTGTGTCGGCCGCGGGGCCTCTGTGTCGGACGCATGGGGGCTGAGTCGGACGGCGGCGGTTGTGTCGGCCGCGCAGCTTCTGTGTCGGACAGCACGGTGGCGCGTCGGGGGCTGCAAGAGACACAGCTAACGATTGAAACTTGCCATTTACAAGCTACAAGAGAAAATTCAGAGCATAGCGTCAAGAGCGGCTTAAAGTTACTTGAGAAAGTTCAGCGTAGCATCCAGAGCATGCCGCAAGTTACAAGAGAAAGTTCAGAGTTTGGCATCAAGAGCATGTCACAAGCTGCCAGAGAAAGTTCAGAGTTTAGTAGTATCAAGAGGTGATAAAAGTATTTAAAAGTGACCAGAGAAAGCGCAGAGCGTAGCATCAAGAGCATGTTACCAGTTCCTTGAGAAAGTTCAGAGCGTAGCGCCAAGAGCGTTGGACCTGCTGCCTCGCGACCTGGTTGTCTGACTCGGGACCTAGTTGACCTGGTTGTCTGACTCGGGACCTGGTTGACGTGGTTGTCTGACTTGCGACCTGGTTGTCTGACTAGCACCATCCTGTTGACTCGCGCCATCCTGGTCGGCTGACTCCGGCCTTCCTGTTGGCTGACTCGTGCCTTCCGGTTGGCTGACTCGCGCCTTCCTGTTGGCTGACTCGCGCCTTCCTGTTGGCTGACTCAGGCTGGCTGACACGGTCTTCGCCCGTGTGAGTCTATATATATATATGTGTATATATATATATGTATATATATATGTATATATATATATGTACATATATATATAGATATATATATATATAGATATATATATATATGTATATATATATATGTATATATATATAGATAGATATATGTATATATATATATGTATATATATATATAGATAGATATATCCCCATACTATCCTCCCCATGAAAAAATCCTCCCAGGCACATCTCCTGAATCGTGGGATTCCAGGGTGGCGTCTCCAGCAATTCTGCCACCTGCTTTGGGTCGTTGCTCTCTAGCGCCGCCACAGCGCGGTCGGGCTCGTAGAAGCCGTCCACGTGGCCTGCGCAGAGAAATGGCCGGCGAGTTTGGACCTTTAAAAATTGAACCTTACAATGTCTAGATGAGGAGTATGATCTCATATGATCTTATACGGGTATAAATGTATAGAATTGTATATAGATGTACATAGTACAAAGTACAATATCGGGATCTGGACCTTCAAAATGTCTTAAAATCAAGCTGAGTCCAAGAGGAGCTGACACGTAGCGGACGATGGGAATAGATGCCTTTGATGGGGTCGGCTCCAATGTGGCCGACTTTTCTTTCGTTACAAGTGAGGTGAGTTTGTCCCAATTAGCCAACAGTAGCTGTAGTGCTGTTTATGAGGGGTCTGGAGCCCAACCCCTTCAAGTGTCCAAACAATGGGCCGATTTTGAATCAACAGAAAAAAGTAGAAATTCTTACCTGCATTGATTGATGTTAATATCTGTGGTGGCAACAAGCACCGCTAGACAACGTTGGCCAACGGATGCAACTGGAGTTTATGATGTGTACTGTATATTGTATATAATATGAAACATTACATATATATATAAGATTATATAAGTATATATATATACTGTATAATCATATTTTACATATATATATAATATATAATATGCCATGTAATGTACAGTATGAATATTATATGATATTACAATATACATGAAATCTGGTCCAAACAAATGAGACCAATAAACAATCTACATTCTTTGAAGGTGACCCTGATACCACACCAAGGGACGGAACAGCACATCTGCGGCATCGCTTGGGAGCT